GTTCCAAATTGGTTAGAAAGAAGCTTATTTGCCATAATTGTTTTGTTACAATGAGCGAAATCTATTCTTTTAATTTTAATATGGCGTGTGGGGGGATGATTTCATAAAAAAAAATTTCAAATTTTAGAAAAAATATTTTTTCATTTTTTTCTTATATTTAATTTTTTTTATGTTACTACTGCTCGATAAACCTGAAAAGGCAGTCGGAACATTCAGGGCTTTGCCCTGATACGAGCAGTCTTGTTTCTTTTGAAATTTCTAAAAAAAAAAGATAAAGACACGCGGTCTTCTCTATAGTCACTCACTCGCTGGATGTTCGTATAGTGTTGCTTATTATTATCTTGTAATTTTCTCTTCGTTCCACTTTTATCCATTTCAACATGTAAATGGCTTTGTATCCTTTTTTTCTTTCTCTTCTCTTCTTTTCATTGCTATTAACTGTCTCTATACCAACAAATGGTAGTGCATTGGTACTGCTAGTGATCGAAACACTAGTTGAGTCAGTTCGAGTCCCAGATAAACAATTTCGAGTTTTTTCACTTTTTACTTTGATCGATTTGAAAAACTTAAAACTTAAAAGCTAACTGATTAATTAGAAGGGTGTGGAATGTCTTTTTAATGAATGAAAATATATTGGCATTTTAGGCTGGTTCGCAGTCCCACAGGGGCTGAAGCAGATCAACCGTACCAAAAATTGAAATTGTTTTGATTATCCTTTTCCTCATCCTTCTTATGGTAAGGAATTGATTGATTTTTTTTCATATGGCGGATTGTGTAAAAGGTAACGAGATTCACAGTTGAGTTGAAGGCCGGAGTTTTTTCCTGAATCAATTTCTCATGGCTTGAAAATCCAAGGTTCAAATAATAATAAAAAACATGGTCTAGCAAAGCGTGCAAACAGCAAAAAGGCAAAACCTTGATGCAGCCTCGCGTTCTGACTAGTTAAAATTCAGTGATTGAAACGTTTAAAATTCTTTTACAGAGAAACCACTTAAAATAAAATAGCTAGGTCCGGCTTCAAATTTTTAAACCATTTAATTGAGACGATCTTCGCCGTTATTGCGATAACTGATTTATCCTGGCAGTCTCTTGAAGTAAATTAATGCAATTAAATTAGCATAATTATGCTGGACCGAGGACATTTTGTCACATTCCTTTTCAACGATTTTGCTACAAATTTATCGGCTATCAGCCGTAGACCAATTTCATATCATCTCCCCTCCAACTAACCCTATCACCAAAAACCCCAACCCAACCCCCCCTCTCCAATAAACCGGATAGAGATCTTTTCGAACTTGTCAATAAGACTAAACTACAGCAGCAACTTACACGCAGCTCTAGCGAATTTAGTACTAATCAATTTTAGTTGAGGCGAGATAAAGAACTTGGTCTACTGGTCTACTTAGGAAAGAGGCATGGGGCTATATTGAATCGATGATCTGATTTCTCTTCCATGGCGTCAAGGAGTTTCTTTAAATGGAGTAACGCAATTAATGCTGACATTTTAATTTCAATTATATGTCGTATTAATTAACGTTTCCAAACCGATATTTGTGGCAAGTTTTCTGAAATCGTATATGGGAACTTCCAGTGATAATATTACAATTTGTGTAAGAATTATTTAGATTTTTAACGGGTTTAATGCGGTCTACATGTAATTCACTTCGGCAATGTCCGATAATTTAATCAAATGAAGCGAGGCATGAGCAGTTTTATCACCTACCGCTTTTTTGCAAACTGATTTGCATTTGAAGTGAAATAGAGCCAGCCCCTTGGAGCCATTAATCAATCAGCACTTAGAAAATTGCTTTTTAAATACCTCTCAGCCTCTTCTTCCTTTTTCTCAGCTAGAATTTAATAAATAGGAGAAGATGGTCAAATTATCATCTGGTATCAGAAAAGCATGCCAGACAAAAAAATGTTAGGCTTCAAATGACTTTTGTTAGTCATTAAAAAAATTTTCACAAATTTTAAAAATCTCGCGAAAACAGAAAAAAATGCTTTTTTCACTTAAAAACATCTCACACTCCAAAAAAGATACGAAGTGAAATTTTATGCAAAAATGACGTACAAATTCTGAGCCGGATTGAATCGCCGCTTTTGCATTTTATATCGAAATCTTTCGCGCGTTTTTTGTCCAAAGTCCGCCAAATTTCCAAACTTCATTAAAACTGATCCGCGTTCATTTATCTCGATCACAAACAGTTCAATTATTTTCAAATTCAGATGAATGAGACAGTTCAAAAAATTGACCTTCCTAAAATGTGCACGAAAAAAAAAACGGTTCAAATGAAACATCAAAACGTTTCAGCGTCAATTTTTTTTAATGGCGTATAATTAACTCCTTTGATTAACCACAAAGAACGAATCGATTTAAAAAAACTTCAAATAAATTAACATTATAGTCTCTTATGCATTGGAAAAGTTTTCTAAATTTTGAAAAAAAAAAAGGCTGATTAAAAATCAACATGGCGAAAACTCACGCACGATCTAAAACTCAATCACTTTACATGAAAAGAAACCGGAAAATGAGATTGTAACAAGCGATCAAAAAGGATATCAATCGAAGGATTGTCCACCTTTATCACTTACTGGCCTGACCACACAGTTGCGCTGGAAAATCTCATCATGTTTTAAGCGGGGGAGTGTACAACCGTCTATCAGATATATTGGTTCCCTGGTTGAAATGTAAATTGAAAATAAAGCTTTTGTAAAACTAAACGCGATTAAATGCGATCCAACTAGAAACCATAAGCGAGTTTTTCCTTCCTACTTCTGCGGTTAGTTGGTACATTAAAACAATAAACGGTGATTAATCCTCATTAGAAAACAAATTTACAAACTGCTGCACAACAAAATTCAAAAGACTCATGAAAAGATTTTGGCAGCTTGTAAAAACTAATTGATTTTCAAGTAGCTATTTGCAACACCTTTAAAAAACGTTATCTGATTTTCAATTGCAGTTTTTTTTTAATTAGACCAGGTAATATGGCACACTGTGCAAAGACTTAATTTTTCCCAAAAATCTTTTGGAATAGGCTTTTTTTTCTTGAGGGCAACAAAAGGTTGGTTTGAAACTGGTGAAAATGCAGAAAAAAGATAAATCTAGGCCAATTTTAATGTACGCATGTGCTAAAACTTCCAAACGACCCATTCTTTTGATCTTTGATGCTTTCTTCCAAAGTGTAATTATAATCAATTGTAATGTCAACAATTAAGATTACATAAATCGATTAAAATCGATTATTATCCGTGGAACCTCAATCTGTCGAAATATTCCGTCACAATGCGGCAAAATTCGAAATAATAACTGAAGCAACTTATTGTTCCGACTTTCGATACGAAAGTAACGGAATATTTGTGCTCGGGGTGGGTTTTTTTCTTCAGACAAATTTCGACTTTTTTAACTAGCCATTTTTTACGGATTTTTCTTATATCATTCAAAAGGTATTGTTGTCCTGAGCTCAAATTTGAAATAATGTTTCACCTGTGATCATTTTTCGTAAAGTTATGAGGGTTTAAAGGTTGCCATTTTGGCCATTTGACCAATTTGGGACAATTAAAGCGCGATATAATTCGAGCTATTAAGGCGTAAGCGGAGATTTAATCCGTCTTAGAAATCGTTCCAAATTGGTTGAACGAAGCTTATTTGCCATAATTGATTTGTTACAAGGAACGAAATCTATCCTTTTGTACTTTATATGGCGTGTGGGGGATGGTTTTTATTTAAAAAAATTTCAAATTTTAGACAAAAAATTTTCATTTTATTTTGTTTCATTTAATTTTTTCATGTTATTACTGTTCCATAAACCTTAAAAGACAGTCGGAACAACATTCAGGGCTTCGCCCTGATACGAGCAGTCTTGTTATTTTTGTTACTTCTTTGTTTAATTCTAATAAGGTTAAAGTTGACTGGTCTAAAATTTATAGTTTTTTTTGCAAAGAACCTTTTCATACACATTTTACCGTCAAATTTTTAATCTCACGAAAAGGAAGGATCAAAGAGGAAACGCTTTTTTTCCACCTTAGCTCGACTTAACTCTTCTGTCAATTCCCACAATAATTGTGTTCCAACTGACAATTTCAAAATTTGCAATTTTATGCGAGCCAATTCGCAGAAACTGAAAAAATAATTTCAACTATTTTTATACTTTTCCCTGCCTGAAAAAAGTTGTTAGAAAAGCATTTGCTATGTGGAAATCATATTTTAACCCTTGCAAATCTGGGGGAGAATTCTAAGCTTATTTTGGTGTAAAAAAAATCGTGCCGCTTATCACAATTATTGGGGAAAGAAGATGATGTTTGTCTTGAGGTGTCTTCATAATGGGCAGACTTTTAAATTTGAGTCCACTTCTAATCTATAACCAGCACTGATGTATCAAATTTCCAATTTAGAAACACTTGTCCAGTAGGAAAAGGGCAATAATAAGAGCTTTTCAGGTTAATATTAGGGCTCTTATATGGAGACTTATCATAGTAATTTCATGTACTTTGAAATAATTTTTCTGGCCGGGTTAGTTATTGACTAAAGCCACTCAAGCCACTTACCTTTTAAAACCCCTCGTTACATCATAGAATTGATGCTTATAAGAGCTGAGGTGGGATCCTTTAAGATCTCAGTGTCGAGCTAAAAGGATCTGAATATTTCTTTTTTCTTAGATTAATTTACGGCGTGGAGTGTGCCGTAAATTAGTTTACGGCGTGATGTATGCGTCACTGCCAATCTAGTTTTAAAACTTTAAAAACATACTTCAAACCAATTTTTTAAAGAATACTTTTAACTAGTTCTTAGAGCTAAAATTCAAGACCACTCGTCTACCCAAGAAAAACTTGTAAAAGTCAGAAGTTTTCATCTATTCTGGTTTCAATGCTGGGCTATGATTCTTCAATAAAGCTAACAAACCGGAAGGCCGTTCTTGCGAAAATCTAATGATTCAAACCTGAAACCCTTAAATCCCCGTAGCCAGGTAAAATTTATCCAAAATTTTGTTTTTGATTAGAATTGAGTACCTGCGACGTCTACTGGGCAGACAGCCGAAAGACATCTGTGGGGAAACTGGGACTCGGAGAAACACAGTGATATCATTGAACAAGAGCAGCAGAGGTAAAAGCACACATTTCGCACCCCCATAAAATATGAAAAATAAAAATAAATTATTTTTTTGTGAGTCAAATTTAGATCGATAAAACTCAAAAACGCATTGTTGAAAACCAAAGCTTTGTATCTTATAAAGAAATGCAAAAGGGAAAAATGAGTGAGAAATAAAAAAAAGTGTTTGGTTCCACACTTATGAAATTCATGTGAAAAACACGCAAAACAGAAAATAATAAGTGGTTGGGAGCGCCATGGCACTTTGAGAGCGCCACGGCAATGATACTGTGTGAGGATAAGATCTATCTCACTTGACCTCTAGCTTCAGGTTTTAACAAAATGAGCAACGTTCAGCAAAATAACTGCTTATGCTTAGACAGGCCTGATACATTTCATAGATCCTATGCGTAACTCAAAAACTACAATCATTGTGATAATTATGAAAAAGGTCATTATGATTTTTTATCATTATGATTATTGTTCTGATTATTATGATTAACATTATTACAATAATGGTTTTTTTGATTAAGAGTAATGAACGTAGTAAGGACTCTTGTATAGGTCTTGCTGATTTTTTTTTGCTTTTTTTTTCAGGAAAAAGTCTTAAAATATTGATTGCACTTAGGTATATATGCACTTTTTGAGTTCAGCTGAAATTTATCTGCTGAAAGTGACGTAAATAGCACTCTACAAATATGAATGTGCTAATGGCGCGGAAATTCGTGAACTGTTTCTAGTTTCGAAAGTGGAAATTAATTTTTAGATTTCCGGCGGAATTAAAACTTCACCTGTAGATCCAGTTTTCTCTAGTTGGGTTCATGTAATCAAAAAGCGCAAACCATAAACTGTTCTAGAAAGTTAGAGAGCTTAAAGAGCATCTATTTTTTTTCTTTGAAATTCGAAAGTTGATTTTTTTTTCAACAAAGTCAGTGGTTTTTTTAATCTTTACTTGCATTTAATACCCTTTTTCAATCTTCGATTTGCTAAGTTTTTTATTATGTTATGAATGCTATTTTGAGATTGTTATTATAATTACTTCCGACTCCTAATAAAACAAAGTATCTTATTTTCCGACGTTTTTTTGGTAGCAAAAAAATTTATAACTAAATGAAAAAATTTTCCAGTTAAATAAGCCCAAAATTTTATTTCTTCTCACGAAACTGTTCAACTATGGCAAAAATTTGTTTCTCAAATTAGATCACATGAATGGAGTTTAAACTCTTTTTATGCTGCTTCCAAACAACGCTCATGTGAACGCAATTAAATTGGAAAACAAATCAGCTTGTGAGTTGATATACAGACTTTGTTGTATGTTGCATTACTCACAAGTGGACGGGCGGTAAAACAATTTATGCGTACCGATTGTCGGGAATTTTGTAAAGAGGTCTTTATTTCAAAAAAATCTTCCATTTCCTGACGCGATCAAAAAAACTCAAAAGGTGCCGCATGGCCTTAATTTTGCCGCACCATCTATGGTTTTCTGATCAATGTATGTCATCGATGCTTGGTGAAGTCTTATTTTCGGGGGGTTCTGAGGCCTTGCAGACTTTTTCATTTTCTATTAGTTGCCAAATTCGGTAATTAGTGTTTTCAATTTTATTGTATTTTTGATTATTTTGATTTTTAATATTTGATTACTATGACCATTATGATTATAGTTAATCCTGGCTCCTGGTACGTAAAATTGTCTCTTTTCAAACGCTCTGTCGTAAACCGCAGCTCTCTTAGAAAAGCTACGGAGATCTTTTTCTATGGGAAATTGCGTAATTTCTTACTGAGACATCTGTTTGTATCAGCTATGAAACAAGAGCATAAAACCAAACTGCTGTAGATCTTTTCAAAGTGGGCCAAAAATTGCCATTTTTGACGACAACCGGTAGGATGTTAGAACAGAAATTTACGCCTTGTCAATTCAATACACCCTGTGATTCGCCGTTTTTTGGTTATTGACATTTTTAGACTGAAAAAGTATGTGAATCCTGAAAACTCTATCGAAAACTTTCTAAGACTCTTCGGTTTGAAAAGAAACTGACGTGTGTTTGTATTCTGCAAAATTTCCTTGCTCGTGTAGTTTTTAAATTGAAATTTAGAGTTGAGTTTTTTGGAATAATTACCTCATGATTTGCTTTTAGGCACAAGCTCAAAAATATCTTTAATTTTTTTTGTTTGAACAGTCTGGCAAGTTGATCTTAAAAACCAAATTTTAGAGACCTGATCATACTGTATAGCTCCACTTTGATCTTTGTCGTGCAAAAGCGGAAAAAATACAATTGAACAGTAAATAAAAAACTTGAATTGAAAAAAAATCAAAACTTGATGAGCTTTAGAGGCTAAAGTCATACAAAAAAACCTATTGAGGGATGGTTGAGGCTCTAAAAGCTGGAAAAGTTAGTTATTATGAGCAAAAAATTTTGACTAGAGAAAAAAAACGGATAAAAGAAACAAGTACATTTTTTCTACAGAAAAACATGAGATTGAACTGGAAAAAAGTAGTTATTGAATCGGTTTTCTAGCATCAAAAACTGCTAAAATTATAAATTAGGGTAATCAACTCACAACTGATGAACCAATAGTGTGTTCAATGCTGAATTTACAGTTAGTCGTGTAGAGGCGGGGTTGAATACACTTTCGGTTCATCAGTTGTGATTCAATTGGTTACCCTATTTGACATTTTTTGTAGTTTTTGATGTTAGAAAACTGATTCAATAACTAATTTGTTCACGTTCAATCTGATGACTATCTGTAGAATAAATTTACTTTTTTCTTTTATCATTTTCTTTTTTTTTGTCGTAAATTTTTTTTTTGCTGCTAATAATTTTTTTTCCAGCTTTTGGAGCCTCAACCATCAATCATCCATGTGTTTTTTTTTCGATATGCTTTCAGCCTCTAAAACTGATCAAATTTTGATATTTTTTCAATTCAAGTTTTTTTTGCTCAACTTTAATAAAGCGCATTGTACTGTGACCTCACAGTCTTTGTTTTAGTGGTGTTTTTTCAGTCACCAGTCCATTGTGATTTTTGACCTGGGTGACTAAAAACGAACAAAATCTATCTTATAAAGAGCCAGTTTTCAATGATTTTTCCAATCTAAAAACGTTGAATCAATCGGACACAAAACTGACCGAAAGAAGAATGGAGCGTAGCATGGAATTCACGTTTTGTTTCTTCAGAACGGCGCTGGCTTGTGTAAACGCAATCGACTTGGAGTATTAAATGAGTCCAACAGTTCAAAAATATTTCAGCTGAATAGTTCAACAGATTTTGCTACGTTTTACATTATTCATACGTATTACTGATTTCAAACGATTGTGAAAAAGTATTTTTTCAAAAATACTCTTAGGTCAAAGTTTCAGGGGGCAACGACGCTCTGTAGGTTTTACCTTTTTGTAGTAGTATTGTTATGGGAATTAGCGTTGAAACGATTTTTATGATTATTATGATGTTTATTATTACAATTTTTCTATTTTTTAAAATGTTTATTCTGATTATCTTTTTGACTATTATGTTTATTGTAATTTTTATTATTGTTTTTAGTATCTTGGTTACTATAATTTTAATGACTTTTTATGATTATTTATAGAACTCCATTAACAAGGATGACAAGTCAGATATTGGGCACAGTTTCTGCAAAAGCTACGAAAGATGGCATAGAAAAGATCACATTTCTGATATTTTTGTTTTCGAAAACAAAACAAATCAGTTAAGTTATTCAAAAAAAAATTGAGTTTAAATGAATAGTGTCAAAGCTAGAATGAAAGAATTGCCGCACTGGAGTTTAATGGGAAATAATCGATTATAATGGATTACATTGGCAAATAATTTAACCCATATAATCGATTTTCAGGACCCACCCAACCACGAAAATGGATTTTCAGGGGATTATAATCGATTTTTCTAGGACACAAAAATCCATGAAAATTAATTATTTTCCGCCGAAAACTGTCTACAGCTCATTACACTTTTTGAAAATGCTTGGTTGAGAGCTTTGCGCAGTTACGTTTGATAAATATTCTGCTGGTTTCGTAATGCAAGAAAACCAAAAATCAAACAACATGAAAATGTAAATAAAAACAGAATTAAACAAGGTTTTCTACGTTTTCTTTTTCATTTTTTTGTCCTGTTGGTGTTGTTGTATTATGAAATAGTATATAGTATAACATATATCAGAGTCTGTATAAAAAACTAATTGAAAAGGGGCTAATTAAAAAAAGCTAACTCATCTAAAAAAAAGAGCAGCGTTTTCCCGTCACTTTCTTTGGGCCGCATACTCAGACACTCAGAGGGGCAAACATTGACACACAAATTTAGGCACTTAAAGGGGCGCACATAAGGACAACTATTCAGATACACTCACAGGGGCACGCATAGGGACACCATTTCAGACACGCACAGTGGCGAACATAAGGGCACATGTTCAGAGACACTTATATAGGCACACATAGGGACACATATTCTGACACCTATACGGGCACAGATAGGAACCCATATTCAGACACTTATAGTTGCACACATAGGGAGCCATATTTAGACACCTAGAGGCCATACCACACACACACACGTTCTCAAAAAATATGGGAATGGGGTCAACTTCCACAAAATTAGGGTCAACCCCACACGCCAACTTCCACAAAATTAGCGCAAAGTTTCTCTAATTTTTTTAAATTAATGTATTGAAACCCCGGAACCTAGAGGAAACTTCGATTTCAAAGTCTTTTTCACATCTTAGTTGATTTTTTTAAAAACTCGCTCTACAGTTTGGCCTTGTTTGAAATCATTTTGGTCGGGATAGGCAGCAATAATTGTAAATGGTTGTAGCAAACAAAAAGACTTTTTATAAAATTCTATAGGATGCATCTTTCAATCCCCCAGTAAAGTAGAATTCAAATCGACTGGTTTTAACAAGTCTTCTTTGTTTGCGACAACCACTTATCAGAATAGCTCCCAACGCGACCAATCAATTCAAATAAATATTTCAGAAAAGGTCATTCGCGAATAAACTACGCGATTAAACAATATTTTCATGACCAGGTAAAAATGGCCCTCCAGGCGTCCTTCTCCAGTGTAATTTATAAAATTTCGAATATAAACTGTCATACTTTTTCTTGCTTGGGCTTTCATCTTTGTTCTCTTTACGAATTGGTTAATTTTGAGGTCGCACAATTAGAAAAAATTCAAAATTTTCCTGAAAAACATAGTATCACTTCAATCCATTTTAATCAATTATAATCGATTGTTTCTGTAAATTTATAGAGACTGATCATGAAATTGAAGTATAATCGATTATTATCCATGAAACTTCAGTGGCGGTTTAGTTCAAGATTCATGAACTCAAGGGCTAATTTGACCTAGAGGGACGTTTCCAAGATCAAAGTTTTCAATTTTTATGAGGGGAGGAGAGGGAATCCATGCAAAACGTATCAGTCAGTTTCATAATTTCAAGTGGGTCGACGGGCGCTAATTAAAAGCAAAAACTGAAGAAAAATAAAAATATATATATAATGAGTTAACAGTTTTCTCTTGAACGATGTCTTTGCTGTGATATGTCTTGAATAGTATTTGGTCATTACAATTTATCACTATGTTATTATCACTAATCACTTATTATGCTACCGGGTAGAGGCGGTGACGCGGTTAAGTCCCGCCTCTCAATGGAAAGGCCGGTTGCTCGATGCTTGAGGTTGAGGCAACATTACCCAGCCCGGAAAAATAAGCAAAAACTAATGCATACAGTCCAAGGGCTCAAGAGGTTCTCCGCAAAGAGCGGAGCAGCTCTTGTGTTGGTCCTTTCCCTAGTGAATAAATCTTCTTATCGATTTGCTGAAAACTCCCAAAAAAACCGGGGGTAATGAGGTATAAGACGTGTTTCCATCCATTATAGAAAATTGACTAGACAGCCTTGAAAGGAATAGCAAAATCGATTAGTAAAAAAGAGATTAGTCGAGAGAACAGGTTATGATGAAAGAACGTATCCTATACAAAACTAATGTGTTACATGAACCCTTTATCAAATACAAGGAGGATTCGTAACCATTTCGTACAATTATCGGATCTCTTTAACAATCGTCCCATTTGCAAATTGGGGTGGGAGATTCGTTAGGTGCAAAATAAATTTACGTATGCTTAACCATCAAATTAATTCTTCTTAGGGGTGCAATGCATTACTAGGTACCCTAAGGGGGAGGCTTAGGGGTCAAAATAGTTAAAGAGATCCCAATTATCTCGTAGGCTCAAGTAAAGACGAACTTTTGTGGCTACCAAGCATAAAAACTTCCTGAAAGGACTTTTTTCGTGCCATTATGTAATTTTTTTGGCTCAAAGTCTTTTAAAAAATGGCACGGCTAAAACACAATCTCTAATTTTTGCAACTTTCAAATTGAATCAGTTGTGATCATATTTGTAGCGTTTCTATTTATTGATGTCAATATCAAAAGTTTCATCAATTCAATTTGTTTTCAGGTGGAAATCGTTCCTCAGTTTCGTACGGCGACAGTATTGCAGAACGAAAAGGTTCACATTTGGACCGTAAAATGGTCACGAATGTGTGAATATCGGCCTCAATAGCTGAAGAATTTATATATCGACACAAATACTGAATAGTGTGTGTGTACACGAAAAAGTGCTCAAATACATATTATTTTGATAAAATGAGTATTGAAGCTTTCAATCAAAGCCAAGTCGATTTATCTAAGAATGCGGCAATATAATTATTTTTGAATTCAACTATTTTTTTGCATTGTTTTTGATACTATGTCAGGCTTCAAAGAGTTCTACTAGCAGAACTGGCAGACTTTGGCTTATGGAGCAGAATAATTTATAGAGCAGCAGATAGAGCAGATTTTCGGTTATACGGCAGAATTTACCCTTTTAGAGCTGCTTTGAAAACTTCAGCCCAAATTTAAAAGCGTGCTTCTTTCATTATATTGTTTGTGTAAGACATCTGTATTCAGGTCATTTCCAAAGCATTGTAAATGCAAAACTGTTAAGCTTTTGATGACTCTAATTTTGAGTAACTAGGGCTTTTGTCACTTGTATTTGGTTATTAACAGAACCGGAAAAATTGCGAAGAACTGAAATAAAAAACACGGTTTTTGTATATGGAAAAGTGCTTGTCATGCCATTTACTTGTATGAAAAATCACTAATCATAGACTTTCAAACACTTTTCTGCTTTTATATAACTGCAAAAAAAGTATGAAAATGGAATTTTTCATAATTGAAAATTGATGAGTAGCATTTTTGGCCAACCCGGAAATATGAGTGCTGAAATTATAATTCTCAGCAGAACAACATGCGCATCTTCGCTTTACTAAGGTTCTCTACAAACAAAAAACAAGACTGCTCGTACCAGGGCGAAGCCCTAAATGTTCCGACTGCCTTTTAAGGTCTATGGAGCAGTAACAAGACTTCTCGTATCAGGGCAAAACCCTGAATGTCCCGACTGCCTTTTAAGGTCTATGGAGCAGTAATGAGATGGAAAATTTAAATGTAATGGAAAATTTAAAAGAAGTCAAAATGGCAATCTTTAAACCCACATAACTTTAAGAAAAACGATCACCAAAAAAAAATTTCGTCAAAAATGGCAAGTAGAAAAGTCAAAATTTGTCTGAAGAAAAAAAAACCCACCTCGAGCACAAATATTTCGTTGCTTTCGTTTGGAATTCGGAACAATAATCTAGTTCTCAGAAATACAAAATTAACATCGTTCACAAATCTACTAATCTGTTGGCTACTAAGACAACATGCCGACGGGGCTTGAAACCGAAAGGACTTCAGAACAAAAACTAAAGTCAAACGCTAATTTTTGTTACAGCAAGTTTAGTTCAAATTTAGGCAAGCTTAGGCAAGTATAGTTCAAAATAAGCGCTATTCGAGAAAATGGACCACGTAGTAATGGTATCCGTTAGTTGTATCAGCCAGAGTTTGAAATGCACAAAATATAAACATGAAAACCGACTTCAACAGTGTTTATATTTAGCAATCTTATGTATCAAATATTACAGGCTCAAACTTTCTAAAAAAAAACGAAAAAGGCTAAAACAGATTGAGAAGCGTTTTGAAACAGGTTTCAGATAATCACGTTTCATGACTTTTTGAGTAAGTATGCTGCAACTAATTTACGATGATGAAGTATTTTCTCGATAAACAATAAAAAATCGCATTTTTTGTCATTAACTCATGATTATCGAAAATGTTTCATTGCGCAAAAAGAAGCAAAACTTTTTACAGAGATCTTCGAGGATCTTTTACAAGATCTTCAAAGAAAATCGAAGAAAACATGCTGGCAAGCTAACATAACGAAATGTCAAGTTGCCAAAACTATCAACTGTATAAGGTTACTAACTTCAAGTTTTTATGTAGCTCAGTTGGCTCAATCTTTTTGAGTGCTTGCAAGATGCATAGCCGATTGGGAAGTGTTTTATTAGAACTCTTTCGCTCATTAAACCGTTGCGGATTTGCTGTGTAAAACTTAATTCATATTTTTTTATCAAACATCAAACTTTTAAAGTTTAGTAGTAGATATGTTATATTACGCCTATAATAACACGACAATAACTCTCTGATTACTCAATCTAGTTGCCCGGAACAAACAATTGTTACATTAAGGGCAATGAAACAAGTTTTCCAGAAGCGAATTTTTAAACAAATTTTCACAATTTTTGACACTTCATAGATAAAAATTGCATAGACCTTGGCTAAAACCAAATTTATTATCCAAAATACAAGCTTTAGGTTCCAAAACAAGCACTTGAAAGTTTGAAAAGCAAGATAAAAAGCCTTTTTTGAAAAACAAATTTTTGTTTTCAAGTAAGTTTTCAAATTTTGCCTCTAATTTATTTTTTTGCCTCTAATTATTTCCAATGATATAGTTATTTTTTCTTGCAAGATCAACAAGGTCTTAAAATTTAAAATTTCCAATGTTTAAAAAACTTGATCCATATTTTAAGGGATGTACTTGTCAAACAAGTGTCTAACATTAAAAGTTTGGTAATCTTTTTCATGAAATTTTTTTTGCCAGGGACTAGAAATTTTTTTTGCACATTACTAGATCGCTCTACTCCGCTTGATTTAGAGTGAGACCCAGACCGTTTTTCTCAAAACTGAAACAAATTTTTGAAATTTTTTTAAAGTCGTTTGTTCGAAAAAGCGGTATGATGATTTTTCTCAACCCATTTTGAAGATTGTTTGTGGCAACTGATTTTGACTAAAAACTTTTTAGGCCAATTTTCTCACTTTATCCGCTCAAAACTCAGACAAGAACCAAAAATTTTCATATGGTTAATCTCGATACTAAGAAAACTCTTCCAGATCATTCGAGTCGCAATTTAAAGATGCTTAAGATGATACAATACTCAACCCTTTCCAATGAATATATGTGGCACTTGATAATGCTTGGAAAAAAAAATCACTCAAAACATGGCTTGCGCAAGGTAGCAACATGAGTTGATAAAAATCGCAACGTGGGTCACGCAAAATCGCAACATGGGTCGTGCAAAGCGGCAATATGGGTCGCGCGAAAGCGCAACATGGGTCGCAGGAGGTGACAACATGGGTTGCGCGAAGTGACAAAAAGGGTCGCGCAAAATAGCATCAAGAGTCACGCATTATAAAAAGTTTCGAGCAGTTTTTAGTAATGAAATAGTTTTCGAACCTTCGTGCTGGTAAAAACATAATACAGATACAAATTTCAAAATAAACTATTATAAATATATTTTGAGTGTGCAGTTAGCTAACCCTACATATTTCCTGACCATATACAAGACCGCCACGACAAGGCCTACACATAGTACTAAAGTGAAAACAAAGTCTTTACCACAAAAATTGAAAGCTAAAAAACATTCAAATCAAACATAAATAAAAAAATCAAATTGTATTATATTAAAAAAGACGACTACTTAATGAAACTCACATACCACATAACTGGAAGCTAAAATTAGAAAAGAAAAAAAATTATCAGTGATCTTTAATTACAGGGGCACACATAGGGACACCATTTCAGACACTCACAGTGGCGCACATAAGGACACATGTTCAGAGACACTTATATAGGCACACGTAGGGACACATATTCTGACACCTTTACGGGCACAGATAGGAACCCATATTCAGACACTTACAGTTGCACACATGGGGAGCCATATATTTAGACCCTTAGAGGCCATACCACACACACGTTCTCAAAAAATAGGGAGATGCGGTCAACTTCCACAAAAATAGGGTCAACCCCACACGCCATTTTCCACAAAATTAGCGCAAAGTTTCTCTATTTTTTTTTTAAAATTAACATATTGAAACCCCGGTGGAAAGAGTCTCTATTTTTTAGAGACTGATCATGAAATTGAAATATAATCGATTATTATCCATGAAACTTCAGTGGCGGTTTAGTTCAAGATTCATAAACTTAAGGGCTAATTTGACCTAAAGGGACGTTTCCAAGATCAAAGTTTTCAATTTTTATGAGGGGACGAGAGGGAATCCATGCAAAAACGTATCAGTCAGTTTCATAATTTCAAGTGGGTCGACGGGCGCTAATTAAAAGCAAAAACTGAAGAAAAATAAAAAAAACATATATAAAAAAAATTGTGAACGATTTTTAAACTCTTGATCTTATAGGGATTTGGTGTTAAGAAAACTTTCTACACTGATTTTGAGTTAACAGTTTTCTCTTGAACGATGTTTTTGCTGTGAAATTTCTTGAATAGTATTTGGTCATTACAATTTATCACTATGTTAATACCACTAATCACTTATTATGCTACCGGGTAGAGGTGGTGACGCGGTTAGGTCCCGCCTCTCAATAGTAAGGCCGGTTTCTCGATGCTTGAGGGTGAGGCAACATTAACCAGCCCGGAAAAATAGGCAAAAACTAATGCATACAGTCCAAGGGCTCAAGAGGTTCTCCGTGAAGAGCGGAGCAGCTCTTATGTTGGTCCTTTCCCTAGTGAATAAATCTTTGTGTCGATTTGGTGAAAACTCCCAAAAAAAACCGGGGGTAATGAGGTATAAGACGTGTTTCCATCCATTTTAGGAAATTGACTAGACAGCCTTGAAAGGAATAGCAAAATCGATCAGTAAAAAAGAGATTAGTCGATAGAACAGGTTATGATGAAAGAACGTATCCTATACAAAACAAATGTGTTACATGAACCCTTTATCAATTACAAGGAGGATTCGTAACAATTTCGTGCAATTATTGGATCTCTTTAACAATTCCTATTCGCAAATTGGGGTGGGAGATTCGTTATTAGGTGCAAAATTTACGTATGCTTAACCATCAAATTAATTCTTCTGAGGGGGGGCAATGCATTACTAGGTACCCTAAGGGGGGAGGGTGGTACGGGCAGGGGGCAAAATAGTTAAAGAGATCCCAATTATTTCGTGGGCTCAACACGAAATTTTGTGGCTACCAAGTATAAAAACTTCCTGAAAGGACATTTTTCGTGCCAGTATGTAACTTTTTTAAAAAGTATTAGGCAAAAGTATAAGTCTTTTAAAAAGTATTAGGCAAATTTTTAAAAATTTTTGCAAGTTTCAAATTGAATCAGTTGTGATTAAATTTGTAGCGTTTCTATTTATTGATGTTAATATCAAAAGATTCATCAATTCAATTTGTTTTCAGGTGGAAATCGTTCCTCAGTTTCGTACG